TTCGATAAAATCGTACAGCGAGCTTCGAAGGGTCATTCAACGAGGAAACTTCAATCTTCAAAATGGTGGCAATTCTAGCCGCGAAGAAGATTTTATAATGTTTCTACTCCCGTTTGAAGTTTTATAATTTTCGAGGAAAATAGTATCCTTACTTTTCCATCATCACTGTGTAAAATCATCTTTGAAACTGTCACGACGTGATATGATTTTTTACCAGTTTTAAGTTACATCAGTTTAAATTATCGATATTTTTCATTGTCGTTGCAACGACGAATGACGAAGAAACATTAAAACGTCAAATCTTTAGGATTTACTTTCACATGAATATTAAAAAGATAAAATCGACTAGTTGAAAAAAATGTTGTCTCCCGATAAATTTCAAACAAATATCCAGATGTCTGAACGAAAAATTTCCTGAACACTCGATTTGGTTCGAAGACTCGAACAACAACACGTCCAAGTGACAACGACAATTTTCACCTAATCTGTATTGACACGACGAAGAAGCGCGCGCGATTTTCCGAAATCTTGCCAGAAAGTTTCGCTTCGAGCTTCTCGTTCGCGGCGCGTGTCAGATCGAGTCGCAGGCTCTCGTCACGAGTAAAACGTTCGCGCGTCAGCATTTTCAGCGGGGCGTACGCGGACGATATCAATTATTAAATATCCCTTTCGTCTTGTAAGTAGTTCGTTCTTTACGACGCTTAAATATAAAATAAGTAGACGGGTGCAACGGTAAGGTGCTCGCCACGATACCTGGCTGACTTGTGGCTCCATTAGCGCCCCCGGCTGCTAACGTATAGCATAATAAGAGTTTATGTGTCAGGTTGATGCGCCAGAAGTCTACCAGACAAACTCGCCGCGCGCCGCATAGAAACCGTTATATTTTCATTAGGCCGCCAACCGAGTCTCGTAACGAAGGGTGCCTTCGATGAACTCGAAAGGATAGCCAACCGCTTCTAAGGCTAACTGGCTGTGGCATTTACGTTCCACTGACGCGGAGACGCGAAGAAATCCAAGCCGCAGATAAGATTGTTTCTGATTAGAGGCAGGGAAATTTACTGTAAAGTAAATGTAGTATTTCGTTAGATTATTAACCGTATTATAAATTTTGTCCTTATTTATTAAATTTACATTAAATTTCCTTAAATTTTCTTTCGTTGTGTGTTAGGTTGGAAAAATGTGTACGATGGATATTTAACATATATGTATGTAATATAATATATAGTGTAGTACTTATAATATGGTATACAGTGTATAAAAGAATTTTCGACTTTTATTTATTTAATTCTGTTTGTTGAAATTTAAAGGTGCAGTCAAGGAAGGCTTCTATTGCTAATGAATATTCTGGTTAGATAAAGGAAGCTGTACTTGCGACATTTATTTTAATTTCAATTTAGTTTATCCATTCATGCAGGATAAAAGATCCTTGGATGGTGGTACGGTGATCAAAATGAGTCAGTGGACGTGTAAAACGTGAGACGTTTGTGAGATGAAGAATTTTTCACTCCTACACCTGTATTTTCTAGTACGATCATTGATATAGTAATATTTTTACAAACTCTTTGATTATTATACGATATTGTAATATAATCACTTGATCAAGTTATGAAGCTAATTACTTAATATCTAGTATTAATTAAATATTATAATTAGTATTTGACGTTATTAAACATTAATTACTATTGGTATTATTTCATTTTTTTTCAGTTTTGAAAGAAACCCACACCTGACACACTCGAACGTGTATATCAAAGATCGCGTACAGATTGGAAGAACCAATCCAAATATACTCACATATACTTATCTTCTCTCATTCGCAGATAACCAAGAAGCCTCGAAATATTCAGGCGCTCGGTATTCGAACAACTCGAGGCCAAATCTTCCGTAAAACACCGTACGGAAGACCTGGTGCTCGACCTTCGAAGGATAGAATAGAACAGAGCGGAACGGAACGGAACGGAAAGAAGAACAGAACTGAGCGAGTAGTCTCGTCGTGTACGACAAGCGTGGATAGTAAGTGTAAACGCGGTAGCGTACGTAGCCTTCGGAGCAGGGCCGAAGCATTATGCAATCTTGGGGTAAACTTGGCACTTAAAGGGGACGGGGAGTTAATGCAAGGTTGTCAGGCGAGGCAAAGTGTGTGGCGAGGCGAGGCGAGGCGAAGCAAGGCAGAAAGACGATGTGGCAGGATACGATGGCCGGGTGGGCTATACGAGGGGGAGGGGGGAGGTTCGAACTCCCTTGGTCGGGCCCGGGGGTGGCTAGTTGGGGCTTGTAAACGTCCAGATGGCCGGTGCTACGGTGAGAGTTCGCAGACCCCCTCTCTCACTCACTCTCTCGCTCTCTCTTCTTCCGCGCACGACCCCTGCCCCTTGCATTTCCCTCCTCGTTCGACTGCTTTCGGCCAGCAGAGGTACGCGAACGCGCCACGATAGCCCCTTCACTATAGACACCATAGTTGCGGCTGGTTGGCCGTCACCTCTGCGTCGACGCTCCCTTGTCTCTTCGACTGATTCAATTTGCCTGCCGCGTGGCTGTTTAATTACTGGCCCGGAGAGTGGACCATGGCCGCGAGCAAGCGAGCGAGCGAGCGAGCGAGCGAGTGCCGACAACAACCTACAGGGTGATAGGTGGAAAGGAGACGACCGGTGCGGCCGGTTCTCGGAAACGAGAGCGAGAGCGTGTCGGAGAAGAGAGGAGAGGGCAAAGACGGAGAAGCGGAATATCCGCCGGATAGCGACACACCATCGGCATCCCCGTTTATCGTTGTGTTGGTGCCGGTGGCGGTTCCGTTGCCACTAAGACACTAACGGAATAACGGCGCTCGGCCCGCTGGAGATTGTTGTTGATGCTAAAGTAACGGGCAGCCCTGAGGGGTCGCCGCAACGGGAGAGAGGAGAGAGCAGCAGCACACCGGGGCACACGAAAGAGCCCGGGATACACGATGAGAAAGCTTGACCAGCGTAGAAGGGGGGCGGGGGGTGGATTGAGAAGAGGCGGCTGGGTCAACCCTGCGACGTGTCTTGCAAACCGAACAACTGTCCGGCACCCTTTCACCCTTCTCGCTTCGTTCTCGCCGCTTTTCTCGTTCATTTTCTCTCCGCCGTTCTCCCGTGCTTTCCTCCGCTTCGTTTCAACATCCCCTTTCTCGTTCCTCTCGTTGTTCTCTTTCCGTTTGCCACTTTACGGTATCTGTGCAACAATTTTATTCTCTTTTCTTTCTTAAGATACAGACTTTTAGAGATTCTTATCGGCGAATGTTTATCAATTAATTTTGCAATACAAGGTTGATCTAGAAGTTAAGTACGGCGAAGTGCAAGCAATTTTTCGCGAAAAATGTATTGTTTTGTTCTCTGTACAGCAGTGCCACGATTTATACGATCGGTTAATACATCAGTATGATATTTTTCGTTTTTTTTTTTTT